TCACTGTCGCAGTCGTTGCATCCAAGCAGCGGAGAGGTGCAGTGCTCTCCTAAAAAGTGTTTTTGCTATCAGACTCTCCTGTCTGAAACTCGCGGGGTCTTGCACCTTGGGAGCCTTGGGAGCTTTGAATGTGCTCGGAATCAGATTGACGCACGCTTCATGTTGCGTTCTCCAACAGATCCCACGAAAGTCTCGAGTCTGAGGACCTGCAATTCAATTCAGTCAATGGTACAGGTAAGATGTAGGAGCGTAGCCGCACTACTTATAAGTACAATTTCAAGACCTTAACACACTACATACTCAACTGGGATCTTCCTGAGTCTTCGATACTTGATCACACCGTGATCACACCCCTTATAATGTTCCACCATCCTTGGAAAGTACCCCAGGCTGGTTGCAGAGGCCACCGAGTGGACCGTGCGTGGCCTCGATGGCACCAGCTTTCAGCTCCGGCTGAGCGGCGAGGCCACCGTGGCTAAGCCGAACCTCGGCGCGGCGCGGCGTTCACTGGAATGACCGGTGTCGGCGGAATGTGACCCTTCGAGGCGAGGAACGAACGGAGAAGAACCGATGCAGGGAACTGGTGAAGAAGCTGCAGTTCGATGCCCAGGTCGGAATTTACTTTGTACATCTTTGTACCTTGTATTGCGTGCCAGTCAACGAACATGTTGCCCACCTTGGCACATGAGGCTCCAATGTCCATCAGTACTGGCAGGGGTAAACTCTAGACTTATGACACCGAACACACACACACACAGAAGAGGTTCAAGATGAAAAAATCAAAACACAAAAAAGACTCAGGAAAAAAAAGAAACAAAGCAAAAAACAAATCTAGACTCAGCCCAAAACCAGAACTCAAAACCAAACACAAAAACACACTCAACTGGAGACTCAAGTAGCAGAAGGAAAAAAAACAAATCCGGACTGGATTTGAGTCTGGATCTGAGTCTGGATTTGAGTCAGTCTGGGTTTGAGTCTGGATTTGAGTCTGGATTTGAGTCAGTCTGGGTTTGAGTCTGGATTTGAGTCTGGATTTGAGTCAGTCTGGGTTTGAGTCTGGGTTTGAGTCTGGATTTGTTTTTTCTGAAGGGAAAAGGCAGGTTCCAGCCCACCCTATTTGAGTCTTGTTTTGTTTTTTTTGAGTCTGTCCTGAGTAGACCTGTTCTCCTGAGTATGGATTTGTTTTTTCTGTTTGTTTATTTTTTGATTATATTTTTGTTTTCCCGAATGCGTAGCGAAGGGTTCTCGTTTAACTCTGGGGGTCTGGGGGTAGAGTCTTGTTCGCGATCCGTTGTTTCTATGTTCGCAACCGTCCGCAACCGTCCGCAACCGTCCGCAACCGTTCGCAACCGTTCGCAACCGTCCGCAACCGTTCGCAGTAGGACGCTAAGGCGCTGCCATTGGGGGAAGCTCGTCTTGCAAGTGACTTTTCATGGATGTGTCACGTGTCAGTTTGCGACGCTATTCCATTGTGATTTGCATGAAAATGACATGTCGCGCAACAAGCGTGATGCACTTCGCTGCACAGGCGCAGTGGTTTGAGAGATCCGCAGTTTACTGCGCAGTTCCATTGGGATTAGCGTTTGGAGAGTCGTGTTTTTGGGGTGTTGGATGTGGCCGTGCCATTGGGATTTGCATTTCAGGGTGTGGCATCGAAGCTCTGTTTTCGTGACAAGTCTCAGCTGAAATGGCGATTTTGGTGGATGGGAGTGTGCTCAGAACGGGTCGAAATCATTCTAAACGTGTGGTGTGGTGCAAATTTTGTTGAAGCTCATGTGAGATGATATTCTCACTTTTCGTGGCAGGCACAGTACTTTGTGCTGATTTTGAGGTGTGGAAGTGCGATTTTCGTGGCAGGGGCAGGAAATCGTGAGGTTGCGAGGTGTGACGGAGTTGACATTTCGTGGCAGGCGCAGTACTTTGTGCGCGTTAGACGTGTGGATGCGGAAAGATTCGTGGCAGGCGCAGGGAATCGCGAGGTCGTGAGTTATGGTAGAGGTGAATGTCGCTGTCACATTGGGATTGGCGTGTGAGCGGGTGTCGTTTGGAGGGGCTGGAATCGCGAAATTGCTAGGCAGGGCTGCGTGATGTGTGTGCTCCGATGGGTGTTTCCGCTTGGCTTTTGGAGGAAGTCTCGTACGAAACGTTCGTTTTGGAGACTTTGACACGTGAGTTTTTGAGGAAGTCTCGTACGAAACGCTCGTTTTGGAGAGTTGACGTGTGACTTTTGGAGGAAGTCTCGTACGAAACGCTCGTTTTGGAGACTTGACGTGTGACTTTTGGAGGAGGTCTCGTACGAAACGCTCCGTTTTGGAGACTTGACACGTGACTTTAGGAGGAAGTCTCGTACGAAACGCTCGTCTTGCAGCCTCGAAGCGTGACTTTTGGAGGAAGTCTCGTACGAAACGCTCGCGTGACTGCTTCTAGTGTGTGGGCAGACCGTGTCGCGACACGAGTGTCCCACAAGAGTGTCCCACAAGAGTGTTCCACAAGAGTGTCCCGCAACCGTGTCCCACAAGAGTGTCAGAGTGTCCCTTAAGAGTGTCCCACAAGAGTGTCCTATAAGAGTGCCCCACAAGAGTGTCCTACAAGAGCAAGAGTTTCCTACAAGAGTGTCACACAAGAGTGTCCCACAAGAGTGTCCCACAAGAGTGTCCTACAAGAGTGTCCTACAAGAGTGTCCCACAAGAGTGTCCTGTAAGAGTGACCCACAAGAGTGTCCTACAAGAGTGTGTCACAAGACTGTCCCACAAGAATGTCCGACAAGAGTGTCCCATAAGAGTGACCCACAAGAGTGCTTTTGAGAGTGTCCCACAAAGAGTGTCCTACAAGAGTGTCGTGTAAGAGTGACCCACAAGAGTGTCCTACAAGAGTGTCTCGCAAGAGAGTGTCCCATAAGAGTGACACACAAGAGTGCCCCACAAGAGTGTCCCACAAGAGTGTCCCACAAGAGTGCCCCGTAAGAGTGGCCCACAAGAGTGTCCTACAGCAAGAGTGTCCTACAAGAGTGTCCCAAAACAGTCCCCCGCAAGAGTTTCCTACAAGAGTGTCCTACAAGGGTGTCCCACAAGAGTGTCCCAGAAGAGTGTCCCACAAGAGTGTCCTAGAAGAGTGTCCCAAAACAGTGCCCCGCAAGAGTTTCCTACAAGAGTGACCCACAAGAGTGTCCTACAAGAGTGTCCCACAAGAGTTTTCCACAACAGTGGCCTATACGAGTGTCCCACAAGAGTGTCCTACAAGAGTGTCCCACAAGAGTTTCCTACAAGAGTGACCCACAAGAGTGTCCTATAAGAGTGCCCCACAAGAGTGTCTTACAAGAGTGTCTCACAAGAGTTTCCTACAAGAGTGTCCTATAACAGTGTCCCACAAGAGTGTCCCACAAGAGTGTCTCACAAGAGTGTCCCACAAGAGTGTCCTACAAGAGTGTCTCACAAGAGTGTCCTACGAGAGTGCCCCACAAGAGTGTCCTACAAGAGTGTCCCACAAGAGTGTTCCACAAGAGTGTCCTATAAGAGTGTCCCACAAGAGTGTCCTACAAGAGTGTCCCACAAGAGTGTCCCACAAGAGTTTCCTACAAGAGTGTCCCACAAGAGTGTCCCACAAGAGTGTCCTACAAGAGTGCCCCACAAGAGTGTCTTACAAGAGTGTCCCACAAGAGTTTCCTACAAGAGTGTCCCACAAGAGTGTCCCACAAGAGTGTCCCACAAGAGTGTCTCACAAGAGTGTCCCACAAGAGTGTCCTACAAGAGTGTCTCACAAGAGTGTCCCGCATGTCCCACAAGAGTGACCTACAAGAGTGTCCCACAAGAGTGTCCCGTATGAGTGTCCCACAAGAGTGTCCGACAAGAGTGTCCCATAAGAGTGACCCACAAGAGTGTCCTACAAGAATGTGCAACAAGAGTGTCCCGTAAGAGTGTCCCGCAACCGTGTCCCACAAGAGTGTCTCACAAGAGTTAAGAGTGTCCCACAAGAGTGTCCTATAAGAGTGTCCTACAAGAGTGTCCCACAAGAGTGCCCTACAAGAGTGTCCCACAAGAGTTTCCTACAAGAGTGTCCTATAAGAGTGTCCCACAAGAGTGTCCTACAAGAGTGTCCTACGAGAGTGTCCCACAAGAGTGTCCCGCAAGAGTGTCCCACAAGAGTGTCCCGCAACAGTGTTCCGCAAGAGTGCCTCACAAGAGTATCCCACAAGAGTGTCCTACAGGAGTGTCCCACAAGAGTGTTCCACAAGAGTTTCCTACAAGAGTGACCCACAAGAGTGTCCCACAAGAGTGTCCTACAAGAGTGTCATTTGGACATATGTAGCTTTTCGAACGTGTTTGCATTCGGGTTCGTGGGCTCCATCTTGTTTATTTTTTCAAGGATTTTGGCTCTGTCTGTTGAGTTCGGGCCTAGGTTCGGGCTCATAACTCTAGACATACCAATTTCGTTGATACAGATGGATTCCCAATGATTCCCATGTTCTAGATGGGTCAAGAGACAAGTCACCTCCACGTCGCTTTCAACACCTCAGATGACCCCGGGACTGCTTCCCTGAGACCCACGCCACGCTAAAAACACCTCGGTCTCCCGGGTGCAGGGCAACGTCGGAGACCGGGTCCACCGCACCGGATGCGACTCGCACCGGCGAACTCGCGATGCGGCGTGTCGGAGCAAAACTGAAAGACTCAGAAGTAACATCTAAGGTGACGGACCTCTCCAAGACCATCGCAACAAGAATTGGCCTGAAAGATGGTCGAAGACTTGTTCTCTTTGCCGGTGGTGAAATCCTCAAGGACTCCAAGCGGTCCAAGCACAAAGAAGCGCCCCGTTGCCGAGAAATCTCATATGTTGTCAGACAGGTTTGTGCACTGGAGGCAGCGCTTGGGTTCCGGAGGGCCCTCGCAGGGGGGGACCAGAGATCATACCTATGTGACAGTGACAAATGCGATCGCCTGTTTGACCTTCAACTACCAATTCAACCAGAGCTTGCAAGGCGTCATCTTGCCAAGCAGCCTGCAGACTTTGACCTTTGGCCACAAATTCGACGAGACCTTGGAAAATGTCAGTTTGCCAACCAGCCTTCTGACATTGACCTTCGGCGTCAGCTTCAACCAAAGCTTGGAGAATGTAACCTTGCCAAGCAGCCTGAAGACTTTGACCTTCGGCTACAGATTCAACCAGAGCTTGGAGAATGTCAATTTGCCAAGCGGCCTGCAGACATTGACCTTTGGTTTCAGTTTTAATCAGAGCTTGGAGAAAGTGAGCTTTCCAAGCAGTCTACAAACTTTGACTTGCAGCGACAGTTTATTCAATCACGGCTTGGAAAATGTCACCTTGCCAAGCAGCCTGCAGACTTTGACCTTCGGCAGGGGGTTCAACCAAAGCTTGGAAGGGGTCACCTTGCCAACCAGCCTGCAGACCTTGAATTTTGGCGATCACTTTGACCAGAGCTTTGAAGATGTCACCTTGCCAAGTAGCCTGCAGTGTTTGACCTTCGGCATGGAGTTTAACCAGAGCTTGGAAGGGGTCACCTTGCCAAGTAGCCTACAAACTTTGACCTTCGGTGATAGATTCAACCAGAGCATGCATGGTGCCACCTTGCCAACCAGCCTGCAGACTTTGACCTTCGGCGACAAATTCAACCAGAGCTTGGAAGGTGTCACGTTGCCAATTAGCCTACAGACTTTAAGCTTCGGCAGAGACTTTAACCAGAGCTTGGAAGGGGTCACCTTGCCAAGTAGCCTAAAAACTTTGACCTTCGGCCGGAGCTTTAACCAGAGTATGCCAGGGGTTACATTGCCAAGCAGCCTGCAGGACTTGAACTTCGGCGTAGAGTTTAACCAGAGCATGAAAGATGTCGCATTGCCAAACAGACTACAGACTTTGACTTTTGACCAAAACTTCGAGTGTGTTACCTTGCCAAGCAATCTGCAGTCTTTGACCTTTGGCTACAAATTCCACGATAAATTGGAAAATGTCAGTTTGCCAACCAGCCTGCTGACATTGACCTTCGGCTTCAGCTTCAACCAAAGCTTGGAGAATGTAACCTTGCCAAGCAGCCTGAAGACTTTGACCTTCGGCTACAGATTCAACCAGAGCTTGGAGAATGTCAATTTGCCAAGCGGCCTGCAGACATTGAATTTTGGCAAATACTTTGACCAGAGTTTAGAAGGTGTCACTTTGCCACATAGCCTGCAGTCTTTGACCTTCGGCATGGAGTTTAACCAGAGCCTAAAAGGTGTCAGCTTGCCAAGTAGCCTGCAAACTTTGACCTTCGGCTGGAAATTCAACCAGAGCTTGGAAGGTGTCGCCTTGCCAAGCAGCCTGCAGACTTTGACCTTCGGTGAGAAGTTCAACCAGAGCATGCATGGTGCCACCTTGCCAACCAGCCTGAGGACTTTGACCTTCGGCATGGACTTTAACCAGAGCTTGGAAGGTGCCACCTTGCCAGCCAGCCTGCAGACTTTGACCTTCGGCATGGAGTTTAACCAGAGCCTGAAAGGTGTCACCTTCCCAAGCAGCCTGCAGACTTTGATTTTTGGTGCTGCGTTTAGGCCCAGGTTTTTGAACAGCATCGCACGGCCAAGCAGTTGTCGGGAGATTCGCTCTTGTGAGTTCACTGTTTCCGTTCATTTCTCGGAGGAATGATGTGTCCAAAGGCAGGGGTTCCTCACCGACCAGTGGGAGGCCTGAAAAATAACCTGAAAAAATGGCGGGCGTAACCAGGGTGATCATTCATGTTGATTCGACAACAGGCATTCAACAACAGGCCTTCAATAACATCACCACTGAAGAGCATGATGCGGTTCCCCACCTGGTGGCAATCCTCCATGCCTCATTTGTCGATGCAGATCCTGCACCGAAAAAGCGTGCTTATCGGCCATTGCGAGGTCCACACCATGCGAGGTACCTGGTTTTGTGTCCGAACCCTTTTTGTCGCCAGGGCCACCAGCATTTCGCCAGGGCCCATGGGGATTTCCCGGGATTCTGCTGGAAACAAAAACGAAGAAGCGACCAGGGCCCCTCGGCCGGTGGAGCTGTTCATGGACTCGACATCCCTCCAAGCGATAAACACCCCCAAGGACGCCCATCAAGTCGGCCAGCCCACTTGTAGCATTCGCCGGGAACAACGGTGAAACACCATTCGGCAGGAGACCTCTCGACGCGTCTCGGAGCGGTCCGAGGAGTGAATGACGTCGACGGATTGGTTTGTCGACGGGGCATGAGAGCCAGAGTTGCTGGTTTTTTTGTTGGTTCAAAAGCGAGGGCCATTTTGAACAAACTCTACTCGCCGAGTCGGTCTGTGTTTGTTTGGAATGATGTGTTTCTTTTTCCATTATTTTTCACTATACCTGAAACGACACCCGTGATGTTTTGTGGCTTTCTGCGGCAAGCCGGACCAAGAATGTGGGATTTGAGGCAAGTTTTTTTTTTCAGAGCTGACACACGGAAACACCTCAAGTGGACAGGATCAGAATAGAATGTTATTTGCCAGAACTCTAAAGTATTTCCTGTTTAGTCTAAGACTATATAGCGTAGACAGATATATATATATATATACACAGGTCGGAATGGACCAGATGTGGTGACTTGGGGATTTTTGCCGGGTTTGGGAACGGAAGAACAGGCGGTGAACAGTGTGTGAATGGTTCGATTGGTAAGTTGTTCATCTTTTTTGGGGGGTCATGCGGCGCTTTTTAAAGGGGTCAGTCTTAAATGTGCGATCTATCATAGATCTGGTGCAATCACCCATGGCCCATAGTTTGCACATTTTGAGTTTCCTTGGAGTTAACAAAAACAAGGGTGTAACAGAGACGTGCCAGTAGCTGGTTGCCGATGGAAAGTCGTCCTTTCTTAAAGCTTATTGCTGCAAGCTTTTTGCAGCTTTATTTGCAGTCACCAGTTTGACATCTTTATCTTTGGAAGACCCTTAGTAGAGTTTCCTTTGTTGAAGTTGATTCACTATTTTCAAAACACATGAAACTAGTTCCGGTTCTTCTTTCGGAAAGAGAGACCTGCTGCTCCGTCATGATGCACGTGCAAATCCACGCTGTTTGACCCGCGAGGACGAGCCCACCGAAGGTGCAATCCACGCAGCGTCTCCGCAGCGAACTCCATGCGTCTCCATGCGACGCTCCAAGCGTCTCCAAGCACAGAAAGACTATACCTCTCAATGACTGACTGGTGCTTAGGGAATGAGGGAATGGATCCAATACAATCTCTATTGGGGGCTCATTCCCTTATTCCCTACTAAGCACCAGTCAGATGAAGTTCTTATGCTCTAAAGTCTCAAAAGGTCCCAGAGCTCGGGGACGAGCTCGTCCCTGGTGCTCACCAAGTCGGTCGAAAGCTAAACCCTGCTGGTGGGTATCGAAGGTGGTGGTCCCGGTCTTCCCCATGTTGAAGAGTCCATTGATGGATCAGATGGAAACCAAAGACGGACAGAGTCATGGGTGGACACTTCATGACACTGTACATGTACCTAGAGGTCCCGGTGTTCAGAACCTCTCAGATCGAATGCGGGTTTGGAGGAGCTTTGAGCTTCTCAGATGGCGTCCTTCTCACATGGTGAGAAAAAAGAACACAAATGCATGTTTACAGGGCCCCGTTTTCGAGCATGTAGTTTTGGTACTTTCCTTTGTGTCCAAGGACGGATTAGGCCTTTTTAGGCTTGGAAATAATTAGGAGTGTGTTCCTGAGTTGCTGTGCAAGTATGGCGGTAAACCATTGCATGAGTCAAACATATAGGAGGCGTCCTTTTGAACCAGGAGATACATCATGATACACCTTAGTTAGATTTGTGAGATCCCTGTGTCGATTCGTTCTTTTAACTCATTTATGCCGGACCGTGTTGGTTCACCTTGTGGTCACTCCAGATGTGCCGTTTGTGAGTCCGTGGGCGACTGGAACGGCGCAAAGATCTGTGGTTTGATTTGGTTTCCCGAACATCCATCCTGACTCTATAACCCGGACCAGCACCAAACCGAATCGATCTAAAAGTCTTCTTCGGGCTGAAACCGCGGAGTAACTCCTCCGAAACGGATCGATCGACCGGTCGTTTGGGAAACCGCACGGTTCGAGCCACGGTCCGTGCGGCGTGTTTTGTCTGCAGGTGCCGGGCTTGCGGTCGCTCCCAAGGCAGTCCGTCCGGCCCGGCGTCGGTTTCGCAAAAGAATCGACACCATGTCTTTTGCCTTGTTCCTTGATTCTTGTACTATGTAATTGAACAATATTGAACAATTGAACATCAAGAACCATTCCTATATATATATAGGCTATAGGCTATAGGCGTCCAGTCCAAGTCATCAGTAGGTCCATAGGTGTCCTGGGACTGTGCCAACCAGATGAAATGAAGTTAAACTGACCTCTTGGTGTTTCATCTAAGAGGACATAAATTGTCAGAAACATCCCACTTCCGTGGGAAATGATGGATTGATCTGACATGTGTGTATAATAATGTATAATATATAACTACATGTTCCTAAATCGTTTCTATCCTATACTCAAACAATATCCGTGACTGTCCTTGACTGCTCCAAGAGAAGAGATTTGCGTCCTACCGGATGTCCAAAGAAAAACACTCTCCATTGGGGCCTGAGGCTTCCAAACAGATTTTGCTGGGTGATGCTTTGCATACTACATTGGAATCCTGTTTTATGTCCATCTCAAATGGGAATAGTTTTCCCATGTGTGTTTTTCTCAGAGTTATCTGATTGACCAATCACAGTTCTTCTGGCGAGACGTTGTTCCGACCAATCTTTTTACAGCATATGCCAGCTGCTTCCTTTCGGGATCACATGGACAACTCGACACTACTTATGTCTCGAGCACCCGAACAGGAAGCACCAGGTATGAGTGCTAGAGGCACCATATGACACCATTGAGACTCTGAGGGTTTTGGCGAATCCATCGTGTGAGGCGGAACATTTGGGTGGTCTCCCTGCCTCGCTTGCGGCGTATGGTGGTTTGTCCTTCGGTGGTGTGTGGCTTGTTTTTTCAGCAACGATGAAAACCCTGCCCCAGACGGAGATGTGAAAGACCATTTTGGCTTTGGGGGAACTTTGCGATCATAAGGTTCTACCAGGATCAGCACTTCTTTGCGACCGACATCAAACCCGAAGCAAGGGAGAAGACGACGACTTTCCGAAGACCAGGCCAGCGGAATCTCAAGGGTGGCCAAGGCAGCGCCACTGCAGGTTGGAAGTCTTCTTGGTAATGACAGATGCTGCATTCAATCCAACCAGGGTTGCGCAGAAAGCCATTCGCGATGATGTTGCTGCCTTGGCCAACGCCTAGGTCCCATATTTGATCTTATTTGACAATGACCCCAAACAGACATGCTGCCTTTGCTGCAACGGAGTGCTCTGCGAGCACTGTTGGCAACGACATCCGCACCCAGGTTCACCCCGTTTCTCCGGCTCCAGGTCACGTTGCGCCACGTGTCCCGGTCACGGCTCAAGTCGGTGGGGCATTGACGCCCGACACGTGGAGGATGTCATTCACAGGTGGAGGATGTCATCGCTTCCATCGGCGCGAACGGACGAGGAGATCCCATGCGGGTTCCCGGTGTGCGCTCGACGACAAGCGCTTTTGGTGTTTTTGTTGCGGCCTGCTTGAACTTGTTTGCTGGGCATGGTCGGTTGCTTTTTGGTTGCCTTTTGGTTGGTTTTGAAACAACAAACAAACACTAACACCAACCCCAGAGAAACCGCAAAGAAGTGAAGCCCGAAGCCAACCCCAAAAAGACACCTAGAAGCAAGTTCCTAAGCCAAGCCGAAAGAAACCCTCTAGAGAAGCAAAGCCCTAAGGCCAAAAGAATCCCTAAAGAAACGAAGCCCCAAGCCAAGCCCAAAGAAACCCAAATGAATCCTGCTTTGCATTCTCTCCTCTGGCTCCTTTTGCTTTGCATTCTCCCCTCTCTCCATTGTTCCCTGACTCCCCTGTCCCCCTCTCTCCCCTCCGTCTCCGTCTCCCTCTCCTGCTCCTTCTCCTTACCCTTTGCAACACTCCCAGCAAAAAAGAAAACACCAAACTACGGACAATCCAACAACACATATTCACCCATTGCAGTACTACTTCCGTTCGAGGACTCGTGTGTTGCCCATGCATATGGGTCCCCAAAAGTGATTGGTAAGTCCAGCAGATGCTGCTTTTAAATAGGATGCTCTCCCAATGCTGGGCAAATCAAGGCCAGGGTCCTCCAGAGGGCCCTCAACTGTAGAAAACTCGCAAGACCTTGATGATGCCCTGTCTTTGGCCAAGCGCGGATCGACTGAGCATCCAATGGGGGCATCATGGTTTGAGAGAATTGTTCCAGTGGATCCTACTTGCCAAATGTACATGGATGCCCACGGAGGGCAGTACTTGGTTGCACTTCAGATACCCTGATGGAGTGCTGTAGACTGCAACCATGTTCTACCTCAGCAAGCTCATTGGCAACATATTTATTGTATCTTATTGTCATCATGTG